CACGATTGCAATATCTTCTTGATTCATTGTTCCTTTGATCAGAATGAAGTGGCCCTCTTTATCTCTTCTGAATAGTTTTAGTTTAAAGTCTATTTTGTCAGATATTAGAATTGCGACACCTGCTTTTTTCTTCATACCATTTGCTTGGTATATTTTTTTCCATCCTTTCACTTTGAGATAGTGCCTGTCCTTGCAAGTGAGATGAGTTTATTGCAGACAACAAAAAGATGGTTTTTATTTCTTAATCCATTCATATAGTCTGTCTTTTGACTGGGGAGTTCAGTTCATTAATATTTAAAGTTATTAATGAAAGATGTGTATTCAATCCTGTCATTTTTATTTCTGTTCACATTCTTGATCTAGCTGTACTTTTCCACAGTTATACCTTCATTGAATTTCTTTCCACAACCCCTTGGGTATAGTCATTCCTTTCTTCAGCTCTTTGTATTGCTTCCAGCACTCTTTGAAGGGCTGGTTTTGTGGACATGAATTCCTTCAGCCTATTTATGTCATGGAAGGTTTTACTTTCCCCTTCAACTATAATAGACATTTTGGCTGCATATAGTAATATGGGTTGGCATCTGTGGTCATTTAAAATTGGGACTACTTTGGTCCAGGCTCTTCTGACTTTCATAGTTTGCACTGAAAAGTCAGCTGTAATCCTAATGGGTTTTCCTTTATATGTGACTTGTTGTTTCTCTTTTGCAGCTTTCAGTATTGTCTCTTTGATTTGTACGTGTAGTGTTTTTACTATGATGTGCCATGAAGAGTTTCTTTTCTGGTGCTGTCTATTTGGTGTTCTATATGCTTCTTGTATTTGTATGGGCATGTCTTTCTCTAAGTTGGAGAAATTTTCTTTTATGATTCTGTTGAAGATCTGGTCCATGCCATTATCTTGGGATTCTTCTTCTTCCTGTATGTCTATAATTTGTAAGCTTGGTCTTTTTATGGTGTCACACAATTCCTGCATATTGCATTCTTCTGCTTCTTAAATTTTTCATAATATGAGACTTTTCTTTGTCGTTTCTAGTTGACGTATTGAGTGTTTTACTTCCTTCTTCATTTCAGCTGGAGTATTCTTCAATATTTCTAAGTCTTTTCTGAGTTCATTCAGAAATTTGTCCCTATCTTCTTTCAGTTCTTTGAATTCTTTTTTTGTTTGTTCTTTAAATTCACTGAATTCTTTTATCATGTTTATAATTGTTCTTTTGAGTTCCATGTCCTGCATTATATCTATCTCATTTGTATTCCCCTAGAGGGCTATTGGTATTTGGTGGGGAATGTTGTTTTGGGTTTTCATGTTATTATTTTTTCTCTGTAGTTTTGACATGTGAATTTCTTTTGTAGTTTCTGATTCTTGTGTGAGACTCAAGCTTTCAAGTTTAGGTCTGCTTCTTTTTGTAAACTTTATGTGCCTTTTTGCTTTACTTTGAGGGCATGAAAAGTTGGTTCCTCTAAGCTTCTGGTTCTCTCTTTTGATTTTATATTGGAGTGGCCAGATTGCTTTTATCTTCCAGAGTTCCCACAGAGGCCCAAATCAGATGAGGATCAAATGCTCTCAGGCTTTCTCCCAAGGTCTGGATCCTTCCAGGAAAGAGTTGTCCTCAGGGATTTCAGGGTTGGACTGGCCTGGGAGCAGGGCCCAGGAAAGATGCTGGTCTCTGGCAGCTGGTGGCAGTGCCACCCAGAGATGCAAAGGGAGATGGGGGTGGGAAGAAGCCCCAAGGGCTCCTGGGCACTGCAGGGAGGAGCTGGGTTGGTCTGGATGCAAAGGATCAGGAAGCTGAGAGATCAGCCCCAGTGTCCAGGAAAGAGGCTGGGTGTCCAGGAAAGAGGCTGATGGGTTGTGCAGCCCAGGGAAGCAGAGGGAGGTGAGTGCGGGACCAGGCCCAGAGGGCTCCTGGGCACTGGGAGAAGGAACTAGGTTTGTCTGGATGCAAGGGATCAGGAAGCAGTGGTGGTTCCTGCCCTAGAGGTCAGCCCGGTGTCCAGGAAAGAGGCTGGCTGGTTGTGCAGGTCCAGGGAAGCAGAGGGAGGTGAGGGAGGGACCAGACCACATCTGGGTGTTTTTACATGCACAGGCACACAGGTGTGGATGGATGCATATGTGGAGGCCAGAGGATTAAAACCTCAGCTGTCATTTCTCAGGACCCATCCACTTATATTTTGAGACAGGGTCTCTCATTGCCCTGTGCTTACCAAGTAGCCAAGGCTGGCTGGCCAGAAAGTTCTAGAGGTCCATCTGCCTGTGTCTCCCCAGTGCTGGGATAACAAGCACTTGCCATTGTACTTGCCTTTTTAGGAAAAAAATGTGGGTTCCAGGGGACAGAACTCAAGTCCTCATAATTGCAAAGCAAACACTTTAACACAACTGAGCCATCTCCTCAGCTTTGGCATAGTCATTCTTGACTGTTAGTGACAAGTCCATGAAGAATTTTTAAATTTCATCGTGCTATTTTCATGGACGCTTCAAATTTTCAGATTGAAAAAAAAATTAGAAGGACCAAGAAAGAGACCATACACAGCATGTCCTCCATCCTCCACAGTGTGCGTTCCTGGGATCCTGTGGTGTGCCAGACAGCTTTAGTTGTCAACTTGACACACTGGGAATAGGGAACCTCAGTTGGGGAATTCTTCAATCATGTTGGCCTGTGGCTATGTCTGTGGGGTATTTCCTTGACTGTTGAGTGATGTGGGAGGGCCCATCCCACCGTGGTTGGTGTTACCTCTGGGCAGATGGTTCTGGGTTGTATAAGGAAGCAGGCGGAGAGCAGCAAATCAGTAAGCAGCATTCCTGCCTTGGCTTCCTTTGATGATGGACTATTCTGTAAGCCAAATAAACCTCTCCTCCCCAAGTTGGTTTTGGTCAGTGCGTTTATCACCAATTGAAAGCAAACTAGAACATACGGTTTAAATGCCTTTTCAGTCCTGCCTCTGGCTCTTCACTTTCTCCTCCTCTTCCCCACTCTATTTCCAGGGGCAGTTTATCGAGCTGTGTAAGACCATGTACAACATGTTCAGTGAGGACCCCAATGAGCAGGAGCTGTACCACGCTACAGCAGCAGTGACCAGCCTCCTGCTGGAGATTGGAGAGGTGGGCAAGCTCTTCATCACGCAGCCTGCCAAGGAGGGTGGGGGCGCTGGCAGCGGGCCACCCTGCAGCCAGGCCATTCCAGGCATGCTCATCCCCAAGAAGGGACCTAGCCAGCCCTACATGGTAGAGTCCATGGAATCGCTTCCACCTAACCTGGCACCGGACAGTGAGGAGCACTCCCTGGGAGGGCAGATGGAGGACATTAAGCTGGAGGACTCCTCACCCAGGGACAATGGAGCCTGCTCCTCCATGCTGATCTCCGACGATGATACCAAGGATGACAGCTCCATGTCATCCTATTCGGTGCTGAGTGCCGGCTCTCATGAGGAGGACAAGCTGCACTGTGAAGACATTGGCGAGGACACAGTCCTGGTGCGTAGTGGTCAGGGCACAACAACCCTCCCCCGGAGCACCAGCCTGGACCGAGACTGGGCCATCACCTTTGAGCAGTTCCTGGCCTCACTCTTGACTGAGCCCGCTCTGGTGAAGTACTTTGACAAGCCCGTGTGCATGATGGCCAGAGTCAATAGTGCAAAGAACATCCGCATGATGGGCAAGCCCCTCACTTCAGCCAGTGACTATGAAATCTCTGCCCTGTCGGGCTGATGCAAATGGCTACTTCCCTAGGGATGGGCAGGAAGAGGGAGCTTTTTTATGTTCTGTGTTGGGGGTTTCCTTTCTCTCAAATATTTATTAGTACCTGGCTGGAAGCCTAGTGTTTTCATAATGTAATAGAATGAAGACAGTTGAGAAATAGTTAAACACCTCAATGTAAGGCACTGCATACTCTGCCTTGGGGGAGGGGACTATCAGAATCCACTTTATTCAGTGAACCCCTCCCCCAGAAGACCAATCTGTCAGTGATATGTGTGTATTATAACTTATTACTCTTGCTGTTGAGCTGTATCCATGGTTTAAAAATAGTGCTATTTAGTACTAAGTAAGTAAGCCGTCCTCTATGTATTTGGGCTTCTAAATAAACTTAGAGATGGGAGGAAAATAGAATTTCTCAAACATGAGACTGTTTTTAGAAGGAAAGGGAAATGTTGGTTGGGGTAAATCCTGTACCACTTTAGCAAGTATTAAAATATTTTTTAAGATTTGAAATATATTTCGTAAAAGTCCTCTATTCAGAAATCATACACCTATCCCCCTCTAGGAAAAAAAACATTTGAGTTCTAAACAGTTATGAAAGTGTAAATGAGTTTTTCACAAAGCTAGGATGACATATTTGATCAATTTGGACAGATGTCATACAATTTTGCATCAATAACTTGTCTTGATTATGTCAGATGGCCAGAAAAAAAAAAGTGATGGATCTGAGCATCTGAATGGGTCAGCAAAAAGAACGAGGACTTAGGATTAGCTTTGTGCTTTGACTTTGTTTTTAAGGAGTGAAAGTTCTGAGGTTTTTCGTACTGAGTTTTCAGATGCTTGCTACTCACTAAGTAAAGGAAAAACATGAAACAATAAACTTGACCATTTCCACACTCTCCTTACAGCCAAGAAATTACACCGTGTGTCACATTCAGCCATCTTCCCATTAAGTCAGTGTGGATATGATGTAAATGGCAAAGGAATTCTGCAAGATAGCATATCTAGATGTTTTAAAACAGAACTTGTCACTTTATATGAGAGCAGAATGCTCTCGCTCCTGAGTGGACGTGGGGATGAAAGTTGGCACACCTGCACTTTGAACCTTGCTTCTGTTTTGTTACTGCTATGCTTCTGTTTATTATAGCCCTGGGAGACCTTCTCTTCGTCGTTGGAGTCATAATCATGTTCACATTTCCTTTGCGGCAATATTACTTTCCATACATTCCCTTATTTTATTCTACATTATGTCCTTATTGTAGTGGTTGCAACTGTAATTTTTTTTATTTTATTTACAGGATGATTTTCAAATTGTCAAATGAAGTAGTGTTAACCCCAAGTAGGATAAATGTGAACAAATAAAATACTTCAGCTATGGCTTTTTATCTTTGTGCTTCAGTTTCTGCCTAAGGCGATGTTATTTCTTTGACAATTTTGTAGGGAAAATATCATTAGGCAATCATTTTGACCAAGTAAATAAAATTTTACTGGCAAACATTCTGAAATATGAAAATGTGTAGGGCTGGGAAGATGGTTCAGTGGTTAAGCACTTGGCATGCAAGTGTAAAGACCTGAGTTTGGAGCCCTAGAAGCTATGAGCATCTGGCCATAGTAGTTGTCCTTTGTAATCCCAGTGCTTCTGTGACAAGGTAGCAAGTAAAGACAGGAAAATCCTCAAAAGCTTATGGGTCAGCTAGCCTGGCATATGCAACAGCAAACAATAGGTCTCAAAAAGGTGGAAGGTGAGAACAGACACCTGAGATTGTCCCCTGACATCCACGTTCAAGCCAAGGCAAGTGTGGCCTCATACACACAGGAACACATACACACAGGAACACATGGTATGCACATCATATACATATACACACCCTTACACATGAACATCATACACAAAGATTTTTTAAAAAGAAATGTGCAGCATAGGAAGAATACTTGGATTAAGGAAGATAATTATTGGTTATCTACTTGGGGCTCAAGAAAGAGATGGTTCGGTGGTTAAGAGCACATACTGCTCTTGCAGAGGACTCATGTTCAGTTCTCAGCATTCAGAGTGGCCTGTAACTCCAGTTTCAAGGGATCTTGACCCTCTTCTGGCCTCCATGGGCACCTTCAATCAAGTACACATTCTCATATGCAGACCTATACATACAATTTTTAAAGAAATAAAATATCTGTTCTACATGTCTAAGAACAGAGTGAAAGATGTTTTCTGTGTTTAGTCCTTATTGGTGCACTGTGACACTGATCCTCATTTAATCAAATCATGAATTATTATTTGAGATTTGTCCTATCGTCCCATGTATTTCCATCTTTTAAAACGAATCACTTGAACAGGGGCTGGAGAGATGGCTCAGCAGTTAAGAGCAATGGCTGCTCTTGTAGAGGACCTGGGTTCAGTTCCCAGCACCCACATGGTGGCTAACAGCCTGTAACTCCAGTTCCAGGCGATCCAACACCCTCTTCTGACCTTTCTGGCCATTTTATGACACAAGCGCACTTACATGCAGGTAATACACTCATACACAAAAATTAATTTTTAAGTAATAATTTTTAATCACTTAAATATACCTCAGTAAAGAGCTCTCAGATCTGATCTGCTCACCCACCTCCACCTTGCCGAATGCAAAGTGGGGCTGAGAACAGATGACTAGTTTGAAGCTCTGGATAAATGAGCAAGAGGCTAATGCAGGAGGGTGAGATGCTCTGAAAGCCCAAGTCTCTGCCAGCTGAGCAATTCTCTGCCGCATGTTGTCTTTCTTTTTCAAGTACATCAGTGTTTTTCCTCACAGCATCAGTATACTACATAATGGTGATCTTTTTTTTTTTTTAGTTTTCTTCTAAAAGCTACCTGTGGAGGAGTCCCAGACCCTTGAGCTGATATTTCCAAGCTTTGTCCAGGGGGAATCAACTTATCAATTTCATTTCACCCTGAGCCTCCAGAAGACAGTCATTATAGAAAGCATTTTTTAAAATCAAAGGGAAGAAAATGAGTTGGGTTTTTCTCTAGTTTTAATGGTTATATAATGATGTTTTCTTGGTACTGTGCACTCTTCAATTTCAGTTTATTGTGATTTAGTGTTTGGTCTGAATGGTCACTTTATTCCTAGCTGTGTGGGTCCTCTCTGTGGGAACACCATTGTGGCTGGAGATGATAGGCCTGGTGTGTGTCTGTCCTAACAGCCATGAAAAGAGTCCCCCAGGAGCTTCTGGCTGAGGAGTGCTGGGCACCAGGCTTGGGAGAGCTTTCTCATCTTAACATCCAGCTGCTAAGGAAAGGAACAAACTAACTGTAGAGACTGGAGTGTGAAATGCTCCCCAAGTGTTTGAACACTTGGCCCCAGCTGGTGTTGTTTGGAGGGGTGGTGCCTTAAAGAGGTGGAGCTTCAGTGGATGAAGTAGGTCACTGGGCTAGTCTTGGCCCTGCTTTCTGTCTCCTCTCTGCTTCCTGACTATGGAGGAAATGTGTGACCAGCTACCTCATGCTTCTGGCAGTGTCTTCACCACCATGAGGGACTGTATGCCCTCTTTAGTAAGCCAAAATAAATCCTTCCTACTTAATTTGTTTCTTGTTGGAAAAAATCATTACACTAACAGAGAAAAGTAACATCCAGCTAAGGCCCCTCTAATATGTTCACTTCCCTCCCCGTTAGAAGGTTCTTTTGTGGCACAGAACTGCCTTAAAGGTCTTTGGGGGAGGGAGAATAATGAAAGGGAGGGCAAGAGCGAGCATTAAGGAGAATGAACTCAAAACACAACATAAATATGTCTGTGTCAAAATCACCCAGAAACCCTTGTGTACAATTAATATGAGTCAAAATAACACTTTATTGGTTCAGGACCCTGTGCCTTTTGTTTAGCAAAATCTTGATAGTCTAATTCTTTGAAACAAAGGAGCTAGACAAAGGAATTTATAGCAAACACAAGGTGAACCTATATGGTGAGAGGTTTCTCTTCCTACAGGACTTTTTTGTTTGTTGTTTTTAAAGTCAGGGTCTTGGGTATCTTGGTATCATAGCAAGCCTTAGACTTGCTCTGTAGTTAAAGCTGGTCTTGAACTCCTGATTTTCCTGCTGTCTCCACCTCCCAAAGACCTTGATTACAGATATACTAAGATGTATATCCAGATGCCTGACATCTTTTAAAAACCAACTCAGGGTCTTGTGCTTTCTAGGCAAGCGCTCCACCATTGAGCTATACCCCCAACCTATGGGTTTTGGAAATATGCTTAACTTCAAGGTCTCCACAGCTGTTAGGAGTAGACCGCTGAGGACAAAGCCAAAGGCTGAGTTTCATGGATCCATACTTAGCACCTTGTTCCTCTCACCCTCAGAGACAGACCAGAAGAGCTCTGAAACATAAATCCTGATGTTCTTGGAACACTGTTGATGACATACCCTAGGATTGGACTGGATATAATACTTTAAGTCCTAGAACAGGCCCTGAAAATTGATGCGTTCATGACTGATCTCGCCTCTTTTGTGCTAGAAACTATTGTAGGTACTGAGGAGGGTTCAGCAGCAATGGCAGTCAGGAAAAGCTCCTGCCTTCAAGGTAAGTTTACACTTTAATTAGGGATAAAGACAGTATGTACCATATAAATTATTGTACTGACATGCAAGAAAAATACACAGGAAGCAAGATCTGAAATTCTGTGCTTGGGGAGGTGGTAGCATTTTAGATAGGGTGTTCAGGGAAGACCTCACAGAGAAGGTGATTGTTTAGTAAAGGCTTGTCTTGTGGAGGATTCTTTTGATTACATAATTGATATGGGAAGACCCAGCCTTCTGTGGGTGACACCATTCCCTGGGTTTGGGTCCTGGACTGTGTAAAAGCAGAAAATGTGAGCTTAGTAGTAAACATGCTTGCATTCATTTCTCAGTACCCTTGACTGTGAATGCAATGCGACTAGCAGCTTCAGGATCCTGCCTTGACTTCCATGCACTGATGGACTGTAACCTGAAAATATGCACTAAAATGAACCCTTCTCTCCTAAGTTACTTTTAGTCAGGGTGTTTTATCACAGCAGCAGAAATGAAACTAAGACCTACACTTCTAGTTACCGAGCCCAGATCCCATCCAGTCACCTCTAAACCACTGTTTCTATAGCCCCAACTATGTGTCTGAATCCAGCTTTGCATCTGTTGATTGGTCCAAGCAGATTCAGTAGGCTCATATATTAATGTTTATTTTTTAGTAAATAATGAGATTTTGTGTTTTAAAATAAAATATATAAATATACATGTATATTTCTACACATATATTAAAATACATGCATATGATCATATAAATATATATTGATATTTAGGGCCATACCAGCAAATGTTCTTTTTATTTTGTTATATTTTATTTATTATTCTTTTTCTGTGTATTGCCTGCATGTGTGTAAGTGCACCCATATCATGCAATGCGTGTGGAGGTCAGAAGAAGGTGTTGGATCCCCTGGAACTGGAGTTACAGATGGTTGTTACCTGCCATGTGGATGCTGGGAATCAAACCCACGTTCTCTGCAAGACCAGTCAGTGCTCTTAATCTCTGAGCCCATCTCTCCAGCCCCACAAATGTTCTTTTTAAATATAAGACTTTAGATGTATCTTGGAATAAAAAAATCTCTTGTCATTTATATGTTTAAGGTACATCAGAAAATTGGATTTATTTAAACATTTAACATCAAAAAGTCAATAACAACTATCAATTTTAATTTATACAAAATAATAACTTT